ACACTCCCAGGAACACGCCGGGACACCTAGTTAGACCGGGCTACTACCAGACTGCTCTCCACCCTCTTAGGCTCCTGCTCCAGCGTATATTAAACAGACATCAAAATGCACAAAGAGTCTTTAGCAGGGAGCTGCTCAGAGCTCTCCCTTCCCAGACCAGCGCCCGGTTAAAGAGCAGCGTCTCCCATCTCACATCCACCTATTCCCCACGAACGGATAGCAGCGTCGCTCAGCCAGGCTGTGACGGATGACGGACCCACCGCACGGTTCAAACAAGGCTCCTGACCCAGCTCCAAGCAGGCAGGGCCACCTGCAAGCAGGCGACGACCGGCCCCTGCCCCAGCACGGGATGCCGGAGCAGCACGCGAATGAGGGCAGCACACAGAAACCCCAGCTGCACCCAGGTCCCCGCCGTGGAAGAGCGCACAAAAGAAAAACCAGTTTAAAAGCCAGCAAATGCAAGGCAAGGTGCTGCCTTTGCACAGGGGCTGGCACGACAGCTCCTCTACGAGACACCGGCCCCGGCTCTCCAGCCCCCACAGTTATTTACGAACTGCGAGGGCTCGCAGCCGCAGCACCGCCCTCCGGCCCTCCTGCCAACACACTTTGCCAATGGGCACAACAATTTTTGCAGGAGTGGTGCTAGCTGAGCCCCGGGCTGCGAGGCCGGTCCCGGTGCCGCTGGGGCAGCGGCAGCCCCCAGGCACCCCCCCCCGGGGCCCCCGCCTGCCCCCCGACACGTCCGCACCAGCCTTCCTCCACCCTCGTCCGCCAGCTGCAAGGTGGGCAGAGCCCCAGCCAGCGTCCAGAGGGGCGGCTCTGCAATCCTGCCGGGCAGCCAAGATGGCTCGGTCCCAGCAATCCACGAGGCTCAGCCAAAACCAAAAAATAATGTTTTCATACTTTGACTTTTCAGGCAGGATTTAGTCATTTGTGGACACGAGGGCTTGGCAGGACTGCGCTGCCTCCACTTACCTACTCCAGTAAGCAGCTGTTTATGACAGCAGAGCCGTGAAGATGGAAGAAGAGAGAAGACTTGTGATTTAATCCAGGTGAATTATTCTTGCGTGATTTATGAAGCATCCAGCATTGATGAGGAAGGGGGGACTCAGCATCCGTGCATGCCCATCGCATCCAGTGCACGGCCAGGGATGGACCCACCGCACGAGACAATGCGTCGTAACACAAACAACTTCCAACAGCTCTGCAATGAGCTGCCTGGACAAACCCAGCAGGGACTTTTGCCCCATCTACCTAATGGCTAAAAAATTAGTTATAGGCAGAAAAGCCAAACCCTCTCTGGGTACACTTGCTTTAAAGAAGCAAGTGGCTGAGTGTGGTCTGTCATACTAGAAAAGCAGGTTCCAGCCCTGGCTTTGTAAGGGTTGTACAAGCCCTGTTTGCTTACCCCTGTACTGGGGCACTTGGAGTCTGCCCGACACGGGCAGGGAGAGCAGAAGTTCAGCAGTAATCGGTACAGGCTCGTGGCAGGTAGTTGGGGGCATCCCTCAGAAATCCTCCATGCAGGGATCCAAGGGTTTGGTCCCGAACTGCCCCAGCCTGGGTCTGACAGGTGGGTTACAGAGCCAGCCTAATGCACAGAAAGCTTTCAGAAAGACTGAAAAAAATCGGTTTTAAAAAGAAACTGTGTTGGCTGAGGCATCTGCACTGCTGTGTCCCCCTGCCCTGGCTTTCCCTTCTCCGGCACCACGTGCTCGGTGCCACCTTTGTGCTCTGCTCCTCCACGCCGCAGCGCTTCGGGCTCAGAGCAAGACCTCCTCACATCTCGGGAGCCAGTCTTTGTGTTCACCTCCCTACCCTGCTTTCACGTTCCCTCTACCACCGAGTCCCCAGGTCCAGTCACCCGTAGTCTCACACCCATGCTGGAAACCAAAGCACAGAAGAGCCTCCTGCTGATGTCCAAGCTTGACATGCCACCTCCATGCCAGACAACGAGAGATAACAGCCAAGCTCACCATGCACAGTGTGGCTGTCCCAACTCAGCATGCAGCAGACCCCCTTCAAAATTCCATATTTAAGGTGGAAAGGGTGTCTGGGTTATTCTTCCCAACCCAAGATATGCAGCCCTGCATCTCCCCTCTCTACTGCAGCTCCCAGGCCAGGTCACAAGCACACCTGGGTGCTTCCAAGCTCCGGAGAATAAAGGGATGCAGTTTATTCATAGGGGTTTGCAGGGAAGAGCTCACATGGAACGAAGGAAACAGCTTCTGCTATGACACAACCTTATTCCGCCACCACCACCATTATGAGCACCTCACCCAGGACCTTACCTTAGTCCTACAGTCACCTTCCAAACATCCCAAGAGCCTTGGCCATCGCTGCTTCAGCGCAAGCCCAGCTCCAGGGAGCCCTAGGGAAGTCACCCACAAGGCAGGAAAGGACCTTGCTGACAACCCACGATCCTGTGTACACCTCAGTACACTCCGCAGGAGCTACATGCCCAGCTCTGGGCAGGCAGGACGGCCTGCAGATCCTCTGCAGAGGAGTCAAAGTGCCAAGAGCCCTCGCATGCAGGAGCCAAGGTCTGCCTTAATCCCCTAATTTTTCTTAACAAGCCAACAGCAAGGTTCTCCCCTGCTACGATGCAAAGGATAGAGCCATCTTCACTTCTCAAGACCATCTGGAAAGGATGGACTTCTGCCTTGCACATGTGTCCTCAATGCCGAAGCCACCAAGTCACCACGTCCCTCTCTTGGCCTCAACACACAGCCTTGGGCATGGGATGAGACAAACTGGGAAGGCAGGTTACGAACGCACGAAGGAAGCTCCACCAACACCCCCAGTTCGCAAGAGCGCGGCGGCTCCCAGCATCGCAACAGCCAAATGGTTTATCCAGCCGCAGAGCCAAAACCTCCCCGCAGCGTCTGCGGAGGGTGCAGAGACATGTTCTCTGAAGACTTTAAAAAAAAAAAAGAGAGATTGCAAGAAGCTACGAGGAGTTTGCCACCACCGTGTCACGTGCCTAAGCCTGCTGCTTCTTCTGATGAGCTCTGGCAACCGGAGGACGCGGGCTGGGAGAAGGACTAGGCTGCAGGAGGGCAGGCAAGGCTCAACATGTGCCGGCACTTCCTCCGAACCACTGAACAACACCAGATCTGTTGGTGAGATCTTCGTCACGGTTAGACAGGGTGCCTCTCTGCACAGAAAGAGGATAAAACCAAGCCTAATCTAGAGTGCCAGAAGACGAGGACAGCGGGAGGAGGAAAAAAAACAAAAAAAACAAAAAAAACTGTTTTGTTCACCTCAGCAAAATATTAGCTCTGGTGCAACTCCCCACCTTAGTGTCAGATTAAAACTTTTCAGGCACGAGCCCAAGGCTTATCTGCTGCTCCACTCCCTTCTCCCGCATTTCTGTTATTAAACACTAACGCTACTTATCTACAAATCCTGCCTCTTAAACCAGCAAAGCCACACCACAGTTCCTGCAGTGTTGACACTCCGCTGTGTCCCTTTGCTTAAGTGGCGAGCCCGAGGGGATGCCAACAGCTCGCTCCCCACAAAAACCATGCACCCTCTGCCTTCAAATCTCAGCCACTGCGCAGGTGCCACCACGCTGTGGACCCCACCACGTTGCTCTGCAGCCAGCATCTGTATTTTCACATGGTGATCAAACCACTCAAAGCATCCCAAAGGCTGCATTCCCACAGGAGCCTATAGCAAAGCCAGCATGGAGCAAGTCTTCAAGGAAAGGGAGTTATTCCAGCGCTGTGCTTCGTGACCAGCGTGGGATAAAGCTCAAAGAGGCACACAGAAGAATTCACTTGGGCAGCGCACGGACCAGCAGCACAAACCCATTAAGCCCCAGCCACTGGCAGGAGAAGTTTTTCACCGAGGAACCTCTGTGCCCTCCAGGCAGACTCCATGCAGAAGTTGTACAGCTGTCCCGAATTTGAAAGACAGATAAGGCTCAAATGATTCATTCAGTGTAAACCTTTATTTGTTCTTGCTTACCCAGAAGAAGCCAGCAGCTGCTAATGCTAAACTGGGCCAGCTCCCAAGCACAGACAAAGGCCTGCAAAAATGGGTTTAAGGAGGAACTGCTTGTTCAAAAAGCAATCCTAGAAGAGGGAGTTAGAAAGAGGGAGTGCAGCGCAGCGCAGGAGGAAGAGGAAGCCAGCGAGCACCTAAAAATAAATTTTAAAAAAAGCAGTCAGGCACAGGACAAAGGCCTCGTCTGCACGTGACTGTTACCCGCAGCGTAGGCAGGATGCGAACTCGGTACACAACACTCACTCCCCAGCAACCCCACGTACAGAGCCTCAACCACCTCCCAGCAAAAGCCATGGCCAGCACCTTTCGCCCCCAGGACAGGCTCCTTTCTCCTGTGCCATAAATCCCCCGGGTGCAGGATGCTGCTCCTGCCCGTGCCCCAACCCCAGCACGCTCTGCCTGAGCCTGGGTGGAAATCCATCTAAGCCCAGCAGAGCTGGCATCAGACAGCTTCTACAATAGTTTGAAAAAGTTAGAGGAATTTAAACAAAGTCTGGAAAACACGATCTCTCCCAAAACGCACTCTCAAAAATAGCTAAGTCCTGCTAAAGGACTAGCGAGGGGTCCCTCTGCATCCATCTACGCAGCACCTTCATCGGCTCTGAGCAAAAGCTGGTGGCTAAATGGCGAGTTCCCAATGAAACAGCCAGAAAAGGCAGAGCAGATAACAGAGGAGCCTGTCCTGTGTTTGCTGGTGCAACTGGGACTGATGCTGCCTGCTCCTCTGCTGTGGCTACAAGGCTGCAGAAACCTCCCACGTCGGCACCGAGCTGAGACCCTGCGTACAGGCGATCAAAACCTCGAAGCCCTTAACCTGCCCCAGCGGTGGCTGTGTCCACACACAGGTTAGAGCTTCAGCTCAGGCCCACGTGTGAACCATTCTCCACGTGCTGTACAGGAGGACACTCCTGTGTATACCTTTAGCCCACCCAACTAGTCAGGATTCACGGCAGGAAAAAAAATCCCCCAAGGATGGGAAAGGCACTTACAGGATGGGCTGAACATCACCAGCGCAGCAGGTATCTTCAGCCTCGGTGCAACACTCTGAGAACATCCAGCTAGTTCCGCTCCCGGGAAGCCACCGCTCCGCATCCCACACTCACTTCTGCTTCACTCCTGCCACCGACGTATCTGGCCATCAGTGCAGCAGTAAGACGCATCTGATAAGGCTGCTTGTAGATGGGTCAGATGCAACAGGCCACTTAAACTCTCACATATTGAGTCATCCCGTCTCCTGAGCCGTCTGCCTCCCCCGGAGCACGCATCGACTCCAGCAACTCTTATTTCATCCTCACGTACATACGGCTCTCTTTTTGAGCACGCAAGTCTGGGGCTGATGAGCAGGGCTCTGCCCAAGCCGTCCCTTCAAAGCTGCCATGAAACACAAACAGAACTCCTGCATGGCCTAAGTTTGCTAGTCTTTACCCTACAGTCCTTGAACTCATGACTACTGAGTAACACGGCTTGCTCAGCTAACCAGCAAGCTAAGAATAGAGACCTTGAAGTGAAACCTACTGGGATTGGCAGCTATTTTAAGCGCACTCAGCCGGCGGGGCAGCGTGACATAAGAGGATATAAAGAGGAAACTCTGCACAACAACTCTCACCTCACCAAGATTAAGATTTGGGTAACAGAAGGTAGAGCCACCGTGCGTGCTTCTGAGGCAAAGCAAACGCTGTGGCGAATCCCCAAGGCCATCTCCACACTGCTTTGCCAGCTCGTTCCTCAAAATCCAAGCCACGCCATCTGTGTTTGCAGCAGCGTGATACCAAGCGGGTTGTCCACGGGCACGGCGGTGCCCTGAGCGCCCCCAGAACCGGCTGAGCCTCCCAAGAACTGCACAGCTGGACCCCAACGGGCACCAGCCCAGGGTGGCCATTGCTTCTCCCCTCCTGGGATCCAGCAAAGCCCCAAGCAAACCGCCTCCCGTGCTGCCCACACCTCCTGCGCGCCGCAGCCCACGTGGAGCCGAGCGTGTTGCTGCAGGCTCAGCCTGTCCAGGCGCCTTCGTGGAGCAGAGATCCTGCTGCAACCGAGAGCTCACACACGGGCTGAGCTGAGCCTCAAAGGGAGCCGGCGCGACCAAAGCAACCAGACAGAGCACCCACAAACCCCAAGCCTGGTCTTTGCTTTCTAACCTCAAGCAGACCCTTGCAGCTCTTCAGTGTAGCACACCCTCACAGAAGAAAGGGCTGCGATCGTGCCCAGTCACCAAATGTGTTTAGGAAAGATCTGGTCCCAGTTAGCAACCAACATTAAGATTAATGTAGGGAAATTTAAACGGCAATACTCAGAGCGTATTTGATTTCAACCCTTAGATACTGGGAAAACAAACATACAGGCTACAGTTTCTGGAAATCAAACTCACCACCTGAAACCGGTCCCTGCAGCAGCGCTCTCTGCTAGTTCACAGCGTGTCCATCTCGTCAGCATCTGCATCTGAATTACTGGTGATGCCAGCATTACTCAAAGCTTACTCCCAGCTTACTCAAAACTAAGAAATGTATTTTGTACTGGATTTTACACAGGAGTAAGTCATAAGCAGGGATTGACAAAGTCTACAGTGCTAAATATTTGAATTCCCCAAACCCACCAGCTTCGCCCGTTACGAAAACATCCTCCAAAACTTACCCAGGGCATCCGAGGGAACACGGCACCTCCAATTCCAGTTGTCATCCAGACAGCAACTGCTTATTAAGGCCTCTGTCAAACCGCCTGTATTAAACCATGGTTTCAAAGAGGCTGAGCACTCTGAATGAAGATCACAAGCCGCAGATTTGCTTAACACTGCAGTTCAATTATTAGAGTGGCGTGAGCCAGCGCTGCTGTCCTCCCTGCCTGCCCCATGGCAGCAGGTGACAGCCACGTGGCTGCAGGGACCCAGACAAAACCCAACCGCCCTGGCACCGTGGCAGGGACTGTCCCCCAGCACGGGGAACCCCTCTTCTGGGACACGGCCACCTCCGGCTGGTGGCAGCTCTGTTCTGCAACTGTGCTTTGAGGGACAGAAATGCCACCAAGGACAAGGAGGATCCAGCCCGTCTCAGCCCCGGAGCAGAGGGGAGCAGCAAGGCCTCGAAGGAGGCTGGCCACAGGCACACGAGGAGTGCCCGGGAGTTTCGTCAGGCTTCGCTGCATCCCTGAGCCACGGGGAACTGCGGCCGCTCTTGGGCTTGGTCTTTGTGGAAGCAATTTTCAAGGCAAATTTTCAAGGCCCACCCTCACTTGGGGACTCCTCTACTGCTGCAGCGAGGTGTTGCTGCAGTCTCGGAAGAAGGAAAAGGAGGCAAGCATGATCTCGAGCTCAGCAGAAGCTGGGAGATGAGCCCCAAGGGAAGCAGAGGCTCCTGCATCCAGGCGCTCTGTAGTGTCTGCAGAAATAGTCAACCCTCCATCCTCGGCATCCCTGGGACAGCAAGGAGCCACGTGCTGGTCCATGCCTCAGCGGTGGGACAAGGACAGAGAGGCCAGAGGACCAAGGGTGAGCCCACACAGATGGCTAAAAGGACACAGCAAAACTTGTGACTGAGCAAGGCAAGGGAAGGGGGAGAACGGTGCTTCTCCTCTGCTCTGGGCTGTCATGGGGAGGGAGGGAGCAGGGGTGCACTTCCACCTCAAAACAACCTCTCTGCTGTGAATATTCCCACCTTCCAGCCACTGGAAGATAACACTGGAAAGCACTGGCCTCTTAAGGGTTGCTGAAGGCAGCTACATGAAGAAAAGAGTCTATGGCAGGAACAGAAGAGACTATTTTCACTTGGTAGTTGCACCCCCAGGCTATGTATGGAAACATATCCTCTGCAACATAAGTGCATCAAGCCATGAGCAAACCTGGAGAATTTACATAAGCCTTGAAGTTTAGGATACGCATAAAGGAAGAAATGCAGAGAGCAGTCCTCACTTTGTCTCGAGTGCTTGCTAGGAAGTGACAATCTCCACATTTTCTGTGCTGCTCGAGGCTTCGCTCTTACGCAACAGCGGCTTCTGAAAAAGCAGCCTCAGCACCAACACTGTTTTCCCCTCCCTTGTGTAAGACATTCTCCTTTTGCGAAGGCTCAGGAACATCCCCTGACGAACTGCTCCCAGCACCACGTCCCAACTCCTTCCTGCAGCACCACGGGGTCCACTCCTGCCCCGGTGCCCTCCCCTTCCACCCTCCGTGGAGTTGAACTCCAAGGCACTTGCAGGACCACAGGATGCTCCTGAGGCTCCTTGGACACGCCGCTCTCCTGCGGAGAAGCAGATGGCCCAAGTGACTTGTTGACATCCTTCCAGCTACAACTGGAACACAACCAGATCACGACCCCTTCCTATTTTGATTCTATAAATGCCTACCACACTCCTTGCAGAGGGGGAGTTGCAGGAGAACTCGGTGTACTCAAATAAAAAGGAAGGTGGAGAAAGGGAATAAAAGAGGCAAAGTAGGAGAGGAAGGTGGGAGAGCAGATGGACGAAAAGTCCAGGATCACCTAATGTGACCCAATGAACCAGTACAGGCGAGAACAATCTTGTCAAGAAAGCCAAATGCACCGGGAAGCCCTACCTGCTTATTTCATGCCTTATAACATCAATGGAGTCATTTCTAAAATAAGCAAAGGTTTGGGTCTCGGTTTTGAGGCATTACTTCAGGATAACTCCAGTAAACCAGTAGCGCTTTTTTGATCCTAAGTTACACGCTGCAATGCACAAGCAGCCCTGAAGAGCAACCAGCTAACATTGCCAAAAGCCAGGAGCTGCGTACGGCCAGCAGCGACTCCCACTCACCCTGTAAACGCTGGGAGGGTGCTCTGGGCAGGCACCGCTGACGGGGACACCCTGCACACGTCAGAAAACTCTCCACGAAGAGAAATTAGTCTCTTCTGGAGGCCGACATGAGATATTCTCCACTTCCAGCTCTTCCCCCAACTACTTACCTCCTTCCTCCCGTTCCCTACCTTCAGCACCCACCTTTCCAGCACACAGCCTCCGTCCCCCCGAAGCACTCGCCATCACTTACTGCGGCGCGGAGAGGCCGTGGGGTGAGCGTGACCGCCCGCCAGACCAGCAGCAGCGTTTGTTTTGCACTGATGTGAGCAGTATTTTGATCCAACTGTGCAACGCAACCCTGTGGAAGAGCTAATTCTCCTGCTGGCATGCGTTCCTACTCCTGGATACAAACACCTCATGGGACAAAGCCCAACAGATCCGCCTGCGAGTGAGCGATGTGGTTTGTTACTGTGCTGAGGTGCAAAAAGCCAGCCAGCCACCGAGACAACTTCATCATTTCTGCACTGAGCACTACTATCCACCACCCTTAGCCTTGAACGTGGATGGACTAAACTTTTAGGTTGAGGGAAGGCAAACACGTACGTGTGATGGATGTGCTAAGGTGTTGAAGCGTAACAGATAACAGCTACCTTGCTCCAGCCCCTCCTCGGGGTCAGGACCTCCGTGGAGATCCTCACTTTAAGACATTCCCCCCCTGCTGAAGACCTCTCTGGGTGACAGCGTAGCACTGACTCAAAGCTCTTTCCTCAGCATCCTCAGATATTGCCCAACAGGGACCACAATGACACGGACATATGGCACTCATACCACCCCTGCCACCTCATCGACTCGCTTACGGGAACTTCTGCACCATGCTGAGCACTCGCCGCCTTCAGCCCCACTCTGCCAAGGGCTGATGTGCCTTGGCACGAATTCCTCCTCCAAGGTGAGTCTGGGAAATTTCCAAAGTCAGTTCAACAAGCGCTTGGGCTCCGTTTGCTATTTATAGTTTGGCAACTGGGACAATGCCACCCAAGCGTACCAGCTTCACTTGCTCTGGCTAAACTCAAACCCAAACGACTGAATCCTGCACAACACACAGCAGCCTCAGAGCTGCCTAAATTCAGCACACATTCATTCAGTGTTAGCAACTGCTGCTATATCTGGAAGACAGTTTCAAGGGAAGACAGAGCTCTCCAAGGCAGAGAAAGAAAACAAATCCTTAGCCTGCATTCTGCAGGACAGCACTGCTCTCTTAATCCTCCTCGGCTTGGCCTACCAAGACCCAAGTTTTTCTGCTAAAAAGTTAACATTAACAGCATTAGCAGCTCACACCGCACCCCACCGGCCCTTGCACGCCTCCTGACCTCTGTACACCCCCTTGAAAGCTTCGTGACACCACCACATCATACAGCAAATGTACCAACTCGGACCTTCTTTGAGTGACAGGAGTTGTCCCTAACATACTTCAGGCCTGGCCCTGCTCTTCAGGGCGGGCCATTCAGCAGAGCAGCCCGTATGCATCCAGAGAAAGGGAGCGGAGTGATTAGAAACAAACCACGTATTTTAAGGCACCAACAAAGGCAGGAAAACATTACAGCCATTCCGCGAGGCCGCTAGGCTGCAAGAGGCAGGGGTTTCTGCAGTATTTTTAGGGCAGCCAGAGCAGCAAATGAGAGACCAGCCATGCCGGCCAGGC